CCTGATTAAACGCTATTATCTCTAACATCCTGGCGGAGGGAATATCGAGGGTAGAAGAGGATCACAGAATAGTAAACGAAGTGACTTTTGAACACACATCTTTTTCGAAGTGCGAGCTCGAATTTTCGCGACACGAATAGTTTGTCTTATTATTTTCAACAAAACAAATGTTTTTTTCGTACACAAGCATGTTGCTTCGCAAAACTTCGAATCGTTAAGATTTAATTTCTAAATTTCTTGCAGTGGAATCTCATAATAAATAATAAATATTTTTACTATCACTCGAGAGTCACTCGAAATTGTAAGAGTGAATGTTTTATTCAAGCTTAAAGTCAAGTCTGACTGAACAAGCCTGGATAATGACACTAATCTAAGAACCGTGTAAATAACATATTGAACAAGTTACAAAAAGTTTTATCTCAATGGTAATTATGCATTTTAACGGAGCAACCTCCAATGACTTTCATCTTGACATATGTTATAGAGGTCACCCTCCTGAGTAACCCTAAAAAATCTAGGCGGCGCTCGTTATTTCTTAAAAAATTATTAACAAAAGAAGTTGTTCATTTGATCTGTAGATTTGCACACACACACACACACACACATACACACACACACACACACTACTTGGACGTCCGTGCACTCGCCTGTCCGACAGGGCGGGCTCGCGTTGGGTGCATATGTATACAGGGTGTCTCACACTCTCCTCCAGGCATTTTGTGGGGACTTAGAACAAGTTGAGGTGAACATAAAAGTCCTATACCGTTTTGCGATATTCGCAATAATTATGGAGATATTAATTGTAGAAAATTTGTGAATGATATGCAGGATATGGTAAATGAGTTGTAATAGCAACGACTGCCGTTGTGTACTTATACTTTAGGTCAAATTGAACAAAAAAGTCCTCTACCATTTTGCAAATAATCATATATATTTTTAATTATTAATTAAAGAAGATGAATGCATTATCACGCAAAATCGTGGAATAATCTACTTTAATTAATAATTAAAAATCTATGTGATTATTTGGAAAATGGTAGAGGACTTTTTTGTTCAATTTGATCTAAAGTATAAGTACACGACGGCAGTTGTCGCTACTATAACTCATTTACCATATTCTGCATGATCATTTACAAGTTTTTTACAATTAATATCTCGATAATTATT